CCCCCCAGGGCTTTTGTCAATGAGTGGAGGGAGCACACATTTTGGGGGCAGGCTGGCACGTAAGGGCCAGCCCCTTGCAATGAAGAACTACCCTTCCCCTGAGAGCAAGAAATCTCAGGAGTCCTGTGTCTGAGTGCCTGGCGCACACAGTCCTTCCTGTAGGGAGAACCTGGAGGCCGCCGCCCAGGCCCGGAAGCCCCCTAGCTGCTGCTGAGGGGCCGCAGGCTGGCCCGGGACCAGGGTCGTGGTTCAGCCTGTGGGCCGGTGTCTGCTCAGAAAGGGCGGCTCTCCTAATCCCAGAGCTGTCATTACCAGGAGCACCAGCCCTGCCTCTAGGTCCTGAAGAAACTCTTGCTAGTTGTCCCTGCCCCCATGCTGAGCTGAAGCATTAAGCAGAGCACAGAGCAGTGGAAGGTGACGTCTAGGCTCACTTGACAAGTCCTGTGTTCACGTCCACTCAGAGAGCTTTCTCGACCAGGAGAATTTATAAATGATTCCCACGCTCTTAAATAAGGATCTTTTATAACCTCTATTTCTCAAACATTTAAAAGAAGTCCTCAGTAATAAGCATCAGAGAATCTTATAAATGACACACATTCTGATTTCAACTTTTAGTAATTCAAGCTTTCCCTCTCTAATACACACATTTACTTTTAAGTCAAAAAGTTAACTGAAATCTCTTGGACTAAAGTCTGTCCAAAAGTACCATCAGAATTCTGTTATAACTGCTAGGTAACAAGCTTTTAAATATCCATTATGATTATGTTTCATTACAGATGTTACTAGAGACACAAGATGTTACTGGTCAAAATCACTAGACACTGATTGCTGGGAGTACATGGAAAGCTGTACTTACCCTCTCTGTTTTATACGGGGCAACAATGTTGTGTTCTTTAATGAAATATACCTGAGAAAGACAAATCAATACTTGTAAAACAATTAAACACTGTCATAGTAACGTATTACAATAAATTAGGATGCTTTGAATCGAATTTGAATCATTATTACCATAATTTCTATTTCCAAAAGCACTTGAATTAATATCAGTATGGCTTTAAAGTTCTGATATTAAAATAACAAACATAAAATTAAAAAGAGACTCATCAAAGCAACGAGGTCGCGACCTGTGCCGGATAAACAGTGTCTGAGACGTTTCATGAACATCACCACCTGCACCAAATAACCAGGCAGGCAGGAGACGGAAGCTGATCCAAGTGCTGATTTTCCAAGAAACAGGTAAAAGAAAGTCACTGTGGTATGAAATTCATTCATTGACATAAAGGAATGTCTCTTCTCTAGAGATGAGCCAGGCCACCTGTCCTTACGTAGGACACTAGTCACCACGTGAGACAAGCAGCACCCCCCACCAGGACCACTGACGTCCTCACACCTGCACCCTTAGTCCTGCCTCCCTCCCATGTTGACGGATGGTCTGCCTGGCCTCCCCAGACAGCCACCCTGCCAGCCCAAGGACATGGACCACCCCCAACCCGTCAGCTCTTCAGAAACTCTCCTCCTATGACTACACGCTGCACTTTCTCCCATTGAAATAAACCATAGACAAAAACCATCCCTTGGTCTCACATCCTCCTTTTGCCATTTCTCTGTTCCTTTTTGTGGCAAAACTCTCTGCAAGAGCTGACTGCACTTTCTCTTGGGCCCAGGACCAATTTTCCTCCCTTCCCTGTCACCGCGGCCACCCCTAGCCAGGTCTGCATAGACGCACAAGATCGTTGAGGCACCAAATCCAATAGCCAGCTGTCAGGACTTCCCCGATCCTGTCCTCAGATCATGCAACAAAGCTGACGGCTCTTCCTGGGGCAGTTTCCCAGCGGGCTTCCCAGCCCCTGCTCCCAGCTCTCCCCACCTTCTTCCGTCTTCTGGGGGACCCTGCTCTCCCCTCAACTTCCAATGTTAGAGGGGCCAGGGTCTCAGTCCATAGACCTCCCTGCCCACACTGTCCCGGGAAACCGCAGCCACCCCAGGGCTTCCCAAGGACCTGGGGCCTGGCGACTGCCCAGCAGAGGGTCCTAGCCTCAGCCCCCTCCCTGAAGCCCAGAGGAAGGCCTCCAAAGTCTGACGGGACCCCTCCTCCGGGCAGTCACGTTCTGAACAAAGCTGCTCCTCCCCAGACTGACTTCAGAGGGAGGCCTCGCTGGACCCATCCCCAGCCGTCTGCCACTGGGCCTGACAAGTGACCCATCAGCACCTCTGCCAGGCTTTCCTTCAGGACACATCTGGACACTGAGGACCTCTCACCCTCCCCGGCTGCCACCCTGGGCGGCACCGCCTGGGTTTTCAACCCCCTCCAACGCTCTCGGTGCTTCCACCGCTGCCCCCCCGACAGCACAGCGTCTGCAGCCGCCGGGGAACACACGCACAAATCACACCTGCCCGTCTCTCCCGCGGGAGAGCTCTTTTGTGCTTTACCTCCTTCCCGTGGCCCGCGAGGCCCCCACTACGAGGTCCCCGCCGCCGCTCTCACCTCCCTTCCGGCGTCTCCTTTACCCCCTCCACCCCGGGCGCACGCACCTGCACCCTCACCGCGCCTGCGCCCGCATCTGCCGAGGACACGCATCTCGGCCTCGCTCCCCACCCGGGCCCCATGCGCACCTCCACCGCGCAGCCCGCTCCGTCCCGCCTCCAAGTGCTGCCTTCCCCGCGACGCACCGCCCACCGCTCAGCTCAAGCAGCGCGCGGATTCCTTCTGTCCTGCTTTCCCTTTCTTCACAGCCTTTATCGCCACCTGACGTTACAGATGTCTGCGTGCTGCCTGCTGCCCCCACTGAAAGGTCAAGACCATGGAGAAGGGGGAGCTTCAGATGTTGTTCTTCCCTCTACCTCCAAAGCCTTGGGTGTCATACTTACAGGATGCACCAGTCCTATTACTTACACACACGCGCGTGCGCGCACACTTACACCCTCACACATTCACGCACACCCTTCTCTCTATTCTACCAGCAAAAGAACATTTGGAAGTAAAACTCTCCAAAGCCTAAAGAACCATAAAGTTTTCCTGAAACACTGCGACCTGGCAAGTAACCAAAAATCACAAAGGTTGTGTCTTCTTGACTGTGCTGAACCCAGGACGCTTCAGATGATACCGGAAAGACTAGCCTGTGTCTAGGCACCCCTAGAGGTTAAGCTCTTTTAGGCGAGACCCCTTATACAAAGTATTGCAAGCAGGTGGAAGGATCTGGGGCTTTGTTTCTAGGTTTATTGAAATTTTACTAAAATGTACATTTTTATAATGGAAACCATACTTTTCCAACGGAAAAAGTACCTACTCTTTTTAAGACATGGGACTTTCTAGAATAAAGCCACGGTGTAGAAGGATACTACAGAAATAATGAGAACACAGGTGTGGACCGGAATGATCAATAATGGTGTTCCCTCCCCAAAGTAATGGATGACCGTAACTGCTTCCATCTATGCCAGTTACAACAACATGAAGTCAAGCACAGCCTCTGAAACGTTCTCCTTAAAATTAACAGACTCGTGGACGGCAGTCCTAGAAAGCCACCCAATCTGCTATCACCCAGCTTGCAGAAACAATTTTCAATATGCATTAAAAAGTTCCATGAACAAGACGGTCGACTGAGCCAAAACCCACAGGGAGGCTCCCTGTTCCCAGCCATTCATTCACCGCTTGAGACTCAATGCTTTGGGTCAAGTCCTGAGGTAAATAAATCTTTGTTTCCCACAGCTTTTCTTATGTTAACTTGATCATAGAATGATTTTGTTTTAACAACTCCAGGAGCTGGGGCTCTGCAGCACTGACCTCCTGCCCCCTTCATTTTCAAGGTGAAGAGGATGACACCCACGGCAAAGAGAAAAGTGGTAAAGATCTCGACTCCGTTCCCGTTCACAACTTTTAAAAGATCTGTAAACGAATTAAGTGCAGTTGACCCTTGAACAACCCGGGTCTGCACTGTGTGTGGACTACTTTCAATAAATATATTGGAAAACTCTGGAGATTTGGGACAATTTGAAAAAAAGATGCACAGCATAGCCCAGAAATATTGAAAAAATTAAGAAAAAGGTATGTGGTGAATGCATAAATATATGTAGATACTAGTCTATCTTACCCCTCAGAACCATAAAATAAACACAAACCCATTATAAAAAGTTAAAACTTAACAAAGCTTACGCCCTCGCTCACAGACCGCACACGGCGCTGATCGGAGTCAAGAGAAACGTAAATCAAGACGCAGGAGTAAGTAGCCGCGGAGCTCCACTGGCGCACACGCGGGGCCACTGCCACCATCTCACAGCCCCGTCCTGGGCGACGGCGCTGAGGTCAAGGGTCATAACTGTTCAAAAGCCCGCGTGAAGCCACTCGCCTCCGCGTGAGCAGCGGTCTCCATGGTAAACTGCATATAGCAGTAAAAAGTCACCCCTCCCGCTTCTCGTATATTTTTCATCACTTTTAGTGCAATTCTGTAAACCCTAACATCAAGGGACCCACAAGAAGGGCCACTAGTGACGGATGACGTGATTCCAAGGAGCAGAGAGAAGTCACGACATGACGAGAAAAATCTGAATTCCTTGATATGTGCCACAGCCTGAGATCTGCGGCCGCGGCTGCTGCCACTTCAGGATAAAGGAATCCAGCGTAAGGATCATTGTGAAAAAAAAACGAGGAAATTCATGAAGCCGTTGCTGCCGCGACCCAGCAGGTGTGAGCACCTGGCACTTTTTGTGAAATACCTTTTCACCTCACATTGAAAATGCAGCTCTTATGTGGGTGCAGGATGGCTGTAAGAAAGGCGTGCCTGTAGACGAAGATGATCTGAGAAAGAGCGAAGTCATCAGATGACAACGCAAAAAGGAAGGTGAGGATCTAAAGCTGGAGAGTGTCATGCCAGCAAAGGATGGTGTGATAATTTTAGAAAGAGGTTCGGCTTTAAAAATGTCACGCGAACGGGAGAAGCAGCAGGTGAGTCTCCAGATGCCGTAAAGACAATCACCGAGAAGACAGGAGATCTGCCTGAACCGGTTTTAATGCAGACTGAAGTGCCCCCTCTGGTGGAAAAAAATGTCAAAAAGGACATTTACTAGTAAGGAACACAAGTGAGCACCAGCACTGAAGGCAGGAAGGGACAGCCTAACTCTACCGCTTTGTACAATGCAGCTGGGTCTCTGATCAGGACCACCGTCACCTACAAAGCTGCTACCCACCAGCCCTGGAGGGAAAAGAGAGCCCTGGCTGCTGGCCTTTGGTTGCACAAGGAGGGCTGAACAGCGAGAACCCTTTTTCTGAATTGGTTCCATTGATGCTCTGTCCCTGAAGTCAGGAAGTATCTTGCCACTAAGAGACTGCCTTTTAAAGTTCCTTTGATATCCGATAATGCCCCTGGCCACACGGAGCCCCATGAGTCCAGTACCGAAGGCATCAGAGTGGTCTGCTGGTCCCCAGACACAGCATCTCTAATTCAGCCTCTAGATCGGGGGTCATAAGGACCCTTAAGGCTCATTACATGTGGTGCTCAATGGAGAGGATTGTCAACACTGTGGAAGAGAAAATCATGAAAGTCTGGAAAGATTACACCATTGAAGGTGCCGCGGTGGTTACAGAAAAAGCTGTGAAAGCCGTCAAGCTCAAAAACAACACGTTCCTGCAGGAGAAAACCGCGTCCAGACGCTGTACGTGACGCCACAGGATTTAGACCAGAGCCAACCTAGGACATGATCAAAGAGATCACTGGAGATGGCAAAAAAAAAAAGAAAAAGAAAAAGGTAAGGTGGTGGTGGTGAAAGGCTGCAAGGTATGGATCTTGGGGAAATTCAAGAGCTAACAGACTACACACCGGAGGCACGAACAGAAGACAGCTGGGTGCAGATGAGCGCTTCCCGCCCCCTGTCGGATGAAGGATGCGGAAGACGTGGAAGCAGCAGGGCCAAGAGACAAGCTGACACCAGACAACCTGGCAGGAGGGCCCCCATTAGTCAGGACTGCTTGTGACCTCCTTTCCGACACGGACCCTCCTATGACACGGGCCTGAAGTGGAAGCAGGCAGTGGAAAGAGGGATACCATACAGCAACATTCTCAGAGACACAAAGAAGCAAATGAGTCAGAATGACGATTATCTTTCGGTAAATTGACGTGGACCGTGCCTGCCCCTCCCCTCCCTCCTCCGCCTCCACTCCCCACCCCATTAGGCCAGACCCCCACCCGCTCAACACGAAGACCACGAGGATGAAGACCCTCATGACAACCCACTTCCACTGAACGAGCAGTAAACATCACGCTGTGCAGTCAGTGACCCTGCTGTTGTGTCTATGTGAAAATCTAAGGACTGCTCGGCGAGGACTGGACAAGACATTCTGTGTCGGCACCATCACTGCCTAAAGTCACGGCGCAGACGCCGTGCGGGAGACTCGTACTGACGTGGACAGGCTTTCATCACACAGGTGTAAGGTGAGCAACATTTAATACACAATTAATAAGGGGTTAGCAAAACTATAAAACAGCAAGAAAACTTTCAAAGAATGACACTTCTGTGCAGCATGCCCTGCTCCCTCGTACCGGGAGGAGCTACGTGTCAGCCTATCAACACAGGTTATTAAAAAAAAAGTCACCATGTTTCCAAGACTGTACTATGAATCTGATCTGAGGCTGCTGGCCATAACAACGTGTTAATGATTCACCCACGGCGTCCGGGCTGGGCTGCCGGGAAGCGATCGTATGGATCATATGAGGCTTCGACAAAGCGATCCTACCACTGCTTCTTGTCGATGCATGAATAGTTACACTTGTAAATAAATATGAGTTTCTTCTCCACATGACCTTCTCGTTCTTGTCTAGTGTTGGTGATCTGTCTGACACCCGCCGTGCTCTGTCACCTGAGGCAATACTGACGTGGGTCCCGACAGACACGATTCATCTTGTAAATAGATGACGTCACTTTATGGCGTGGCTGAATGCAAGACAGCAGCGCAAACGCATCTTCTCTTCCTTATGATTTTTTAAATGACATTTCCTTTTCTCTAGCTTATTTGACTGGAAGACTATAGTATATACTACATATAACACACAAAATGTGTTAATCAGCCATTTATGTTGTCGGTCAGGACACAGGAGGCTATGAGTAGTTAAGTTTGGGGCGAGTCAAAAGTTACACCTGAATTTTCAACTGTTGGTGGGGGTGGTCAGTGCCTCACACCCCTGCTTTGTTCAAGGGTCAACTGTATATGACAGGAAAAAACATGCTTTAATTTATCTGTGTGCTGCCAATAAAGCATGGTACTGGATGCATAACTCCATGCTGGATAAAAGGTCATGACCCCAAGCACTGTAATTACACAAGGCTGTGCATCTCGAGTTGTTGCCTCATGGTCCTCAGGCGTCAACCTGAGCAATGCATCTGTGCTGCTCCGCCGTCTAACGGCCGGGAGGCTGCAGAAGGACCTGCAGTCCCGTCGTCTCAACCCTCAGACACGGTCAGGACCCCCAAGGATGAAGCCACAGCCTGCAAGTCCCACACACTCAGCAAACACGAAGGGTCTCATTAGGGACCACATCTCTTACAAGATACATTTCTCAATGCCTAAGTTTTAAAACCATTTAAACTTCTATTCCAGTAGCCTTCATTTGAAGATTTCTACAAATTTCATCATGCTATAAAAAAAAAAAGTGTGTGCGTATATGTATGTATTTATTCATTTAAATGTTCATTCAGGTTAGAAAAAAATATTTACTTAGGTGCACTTACCTGACTGAAAATGAGTGAAATCCCTCCGGGTACTGCCCTGAAATGTAGACAAGAGTCAGTAAGTACATATAATTGTTTGGTGGAAGTAAAATTTAACAGCTGTGACAATGACATACTTTGCAAAGTGTCTACTGGCTCTGTTTTCTCCATGTTTTCCTATTTTTATACAATCTCTCAAAGGAATCTGGGTAAAATTGAAAGAGAAATATAAAAGTAAGCCAAGGTAAAATACATAAAAAATTAGGAATACGTTCAAGATTTAACATGCATTTACCTTAATGATGGGCTGGGATATGGCATCTGGTTCAAAAATAACTGATTTCGAACATATTTTTAAGGAGCCTCTGATTTTCCTAGAGACGCAAGTACAAAGGGTTGTTATTAAATGGACGTAAGGAAAGTCACAAGAAAAATCACAATGCACTTGGACTAGAAAGTAGACAACTCAAGCATCAAACGACAGAAAATCAACAAGGTTTTAATTAAAGAGCAGGATATGAAAAGCTGGAAAATAAAGCAAAATAATCTTCAGCTCCACGTCCTCAGAGGTTGAAGACTCTGCACGCACTGTGACACGGTTCCACGGAGAGAGCGCGGACCTGGACATCCTACTTCCTGTGGTCCCCACAGCTGCTGAGACAGGAACAGCTTTCTCATCCTTCAGAAACACTGATTCCATCCTGTCCCCGCGGAATTCTTTTTGACTTCTAATTTCCTACATCTTAAAGATCTATCCAGAAGGCAATACTGAATATCTAATATTGATTACATAAGGAATTTTTTTTCTTATTTATAATCATGGAAAAACAACAGAGTTTGAATTTAGCCCATAAAATGTTTTGAACGGTAACTCTGGGGTACGTAGGAATTCAGGAAAAAACTGGTCCTGTGACAAGGAGCAATTTTAACTACCACCTGCCTCCTACTGTAATATCAAGCAAATCAGTTATCCATGTCACCATTTTCCTCCTTTCTTGGGACATTCATCCGGCTCCAGTAAATTCTGGTGAAGAAACCTGCCTGGGCACGTTCAAGGCTGACGTGTGCCACTTGCCGGAAGCTAATAAAAATCTACGCATTTTGTTGTCTTTTATCGACTGGATGACTTTTATGAATGACCAAACCAAGGCAATCATGTAATCATGTAATTAAAAATTACCATGTAACCAGAACACAGGTTAAGAAATGCTGGAACATTACCTTATTTAAAAAAAATCACCTGAAGATTAGTTTCCAAGAGTACCTTCTGTCTACAAGCACAACTCCAAGGATCTTACGTTTTCTACAATCACTTGGGTGACATTTGAGCTTTTCCTCTAGTCATTTCCCGGTGGCCTCGGGAACCGTCCTTTCCCTGCCCATCCCGGAGTTCTCTTAACTGAAGCAGTTACTTTATTTATCCTCTAGAAACACCTACCTGCTCTCCCTGCTTCTGTGTGCCCTCCCCCAGTCAAATCTTCTTCTCCCAAAGAAATCGCACGTCCCTCCTTGCTCACAAATACGCCAAGGGCTTCCTAGACCGCAGGATGAAGTCCCTGCACGATGTGAGAGAGGCTCCCTCGGTACACACGTCTACACGCGCTGAACACACGAGAGGGCTCGCAGTGCCCAAGGTCATGATTTAGTCTGAAGCTCCTCCTCCTCAAAGGATCTTTCAAATTGTTGATTTGAGGTCATTTTTTCCCATGCTGTTCACCGCACCTACTTTTCTAACACCCCAAATGACCTCATAATAATGTAAGAAAAGTACTTTTATGGAAACTGCTAAACAAATACAAACAGAACAGAAAACCCCCAAGTATCAATCACCTCATCTCTGCAGTTACTAGCATGTGGTCATCCTTGTTTTGTGCGTTACATGCCAGAACCCTGCCGGGTTCCAGAGGAAGTCCCAGACATCCTACACTTCATCTATACACACTCTGACATGAATCTCTATAAACACTTTTAATAGATGACCTGTCATTATCACACCCCCCAAAAATGAGTAATTCCTTAGTGTCATCAGTAAATAGCCAGGGTTCAAATTTTTCCATTTCGTAAGTGTTTTTATAGTGTGTTTTTCAAATCAAAGCCCAAAGTCCATATTATATTTAGTTGATATGTCTCACATCTCTTCACCTAAAAATTTTCATTTTCGCACATTATGAACTTTGCAAAATGCATCTCTGTGGTTTTCCTCTGTCCCATCTCCTTCAGTAAGATGAAAAGACCTGACCAGACTCTGGTTTGATTTTTTGATAAGAACACTTCAGAGGCAGCGCCCAAGTATTTCTAGTTCAAACCAAATTATTCATTAGAAAGTGCTGATTTTTATACCACGCTGGTGTTTTATGATCATCCCTTTATAAAACCATAAGCCAAATAATTGAGAGTTAAGTACAAAAGGGATGCAAGAAAAAAGGCATGGAATGAATCAGAGCCCTATCCTGCTGATTTAAGACACCGACACTTACAACCTTATACACATCAGTACACATGCAGCTTTGAAAAACATCTGAAGTTATGACAGCAACGTAAAAATCCCTTTCTTCTCATGACTTTCCCAATATGAAAGGGGGGAAGTCTATACGATCATACCTCTGAGTTTTAAAATGTCAGACAACGGAAGAGTCATTAAGTCCACAGAAATACAAAAATCTTCCTTACCTTTCATTCCGATTGCCCTCGTGCTGAATGTGATTAGCTGTATGCTGTTCAAAGTAGTACTCCTCCAAGTTAAGCAGGAGCAAGGAAAATCTAAAGTTGGAAACAGAACAAAACTTCGTGTTTATTTTTTTTAAAGTATGAAAAAGCAGAATATTGCACACACATGTCCCTAAAGTACTCTCCCAGCCACGGAATCAACAAGTATTTATTACGTGTGTGTTACATGCCAGGCACTCCTCTCTGTCCACAGACCTGCCCTGCTCTGCCGAAAATAAATCAATAGAACTGTTTACCAAGTGGATTAATTATTCCTCTACAGAAACTCCAAGTTTCATGAACTAAAACTTACTCTTGCCTGAACAAAGCTCGACGCTTCCTACTTAGGGAATTTCCATCCTTCGTTTCCCCTGATGACACACGAGGCTTCCCCACAGCCCCTTTCCCGCCACGCAGCCCACTCCAGCGCCCTGCCCCGTGCTGGGTGAGCTCGCGCTGCCGCTCTCACCAGACCCCATGCCTCTGAGAGGCAGGTCCTTAGACATTCCCCTGTCATAATCGCTCTAATGCTTTGTATGTAGTGGGTGTTTACTACATAAAATAAGTAAGCTGAACCGAATGGGACTGCAAAATAGTTCTTCTTAAGGTTTTAAGTGCTTTCAACTTTTGAAAACAAAATAAAGTGAGAGCAAACATATTAACTTGGCTGTGTGGCCACAGAAACAAACACACGGCAAAGAACTGAAAACGAGTGTCGTGTGTGTTTCATGATTAGGGTCAGGAAACGGCGGCACCTGGAGGGGCGACGGGGAAAAGTTATCATGAGAAGAGTGGCCTTGGAGGTGGGTCTTGAAGCAGCAGAGGAAGACGTCCCGATGAAACACGGCAGAACAAACATATGCTTATTTCTGCTCCCCCTGGAAACAACACTAAAACACCAACAGAATTTTTTTAAAATAGCAAAACCAACAGACTAAAGAAAACCAGAGAGATGTAAAAGCAGGTGAGAGAGACGGATAAACGTGCGAGGAAGGGAAAGCAGACGGGAGGAGTTGGCAGTGCCCAGAAACCAGGACAGCAGACGCCTCCAGGGTAGGTACCAGTCAGGAGAAAGCCAGCGCGAGTCACAGGACTTCCAGAAAGTTCCACAACTGCAGGCATCAGGTTCCAAGGGGGCGGGGGGGAGGTCTGGGGGGGGGTGGTTGAAAGTCCAAACGAGGACAGACGTCTGGGTTCCTCCCCATGGTTCTCCCTATGCCTGGCTTTTCAACACAAAAATGAAACACGAGGCTCCAAACTAGACAAGCCCAGTGGAGAGCAGGGCCGTGGCATGAAAAGAAAATGATGAAGCAAAAAGTAGGAAGACATATAACACACTGAGCAGCAGTGTGATGGGTTACTTTTGGGAAAAAAAAACTGAACAGCCCTGGAGAAAAGGCCTGGGATACTAGCGTTTGAAAGAACTTCCTGCAACATCGTCCCAAGGTGAAGCCTGACAGAAAAGGTGACACAGAATTACACGCTTCACGCTTAAACATGAACAGACAACCCAAGGTCCCCAGCCTCTAACACGAAGGAACTGGAGCAAACAAGCAGAAAAACTCAACTCGGAGGACTGGTGACAGTGCATGGAACAGAAGAAAAGGTCAAAAGACTATAAATAACATCCTTACAAAGAAGACAGTATATCCATGAAATAAGACATAACTCACTTAAAAAAAAACCGAACAAAGAAAAATAACTCATAAGTTAAAAATGACAGCGGGAACCAGCTTTACCATCCTATTAGATAACTTTTATTGGCCTGTTCCACCTTTTAAAGTCCATGAACAACAATTAATCATAGGCTGAACTGCCAGAGCTCAATGCAAAATGCTCACTAGTAATACTTACCCTGGGGGAGGGTAACAGCTCATGGCAGCACGTGTGCTTGACACGTACAAGGTCCAGGGTCAGCCCCCAATGCCCCCATTTAAAAAACAAAACAAAACAAAAAACACTTCTCTGAATTTCAATACAATTACAAGAGTTAGGATTGCTAGGAACACTCCTCGGATGCATCAAATAATTTCCAAGATGGTGTAGCCCGGAGAGATACTAAGTACTTTGCCCCTTACTTTCAGCTTGTATCTTAAGGAGCTGAACACCTTTGCTTGGACTGGAGCTATGCAGCCCATCTTCCTCCTTGGTCTCCCCACCCCTCCTCTTAGAGAGAGGGTAAAAATAAGTGTTCGTCAATAAGGCAATGACACAATTTTATTACTATAAAGTACAAGGAGTCTCCACAGACAATCAGCTTTTTAAATAATTATTAAAAATAATCCTATCTCTAATACTATTAAAATGGCCATACCACCCAAAGTGATCTACAGATTCATGCAATCCCTATCAAAATCTCAGTGGCATTTATTGTAGAAACAGGAAAAAAGAATCCTAAAATTCATACGGAATCAAATAGCCGAAACAATCAAGAAAGAAAAACAAAGCTGGAAACCCCACAGTTCCTTATTTCAAGAGACTACAAAGCTACCAGTAATTAAAACAGTGTGGTACCAGCACAGAGACAGACATGCAGACCGGAGAACAGAATGGAGATATCAGAAATAAACTCTCATATCCACAGTCAGATGATCTTCTACAAGAGTTCCAAAGACACACAACGGGGAAAGGATAGTCTATTCAACAAATGGTGCTGGAAAATTTGGATGCTCAAGGAGGAAATTAAGAAATTGTTGACGAGACCAGAGCAAGAACATAGTCCTGTGACCCACTGTTGGAAGCGCGCCCCTTATAATACATTTGACAGTGACCTCTGAATAGTCACTCAAAAATACCTTATTCTACCCACCTATACCAACATCGATTTCTCCTTCCTCAACTCTGCTCTCAAGATATCACAAAAGTGAACCGATTCTCTGCCAAAGTTCAGTTGAACTAAACCTACTGCACCTTCCTGACCAACCAGTGAGAACTCTGTCGGGAGAGATTAAATTCGCGTGAGATGACTTCATGGTGAATTCGCGCCGGAGACTGGTGACAACCTCCTCGCCCTGTGGGTTATGTATCATCTGGCTGATCTAGAAACCCAGCTCCCCGGGAGCGGCTTGCTGCGGGCTGGGGCCCAGCACAGAAGGCGGCTTCCCACCAAGTTACGTGGAAACCTGCTCTGGTCTCGCGTTAAAGGCCAACAGTCCTCCAACGAGGACTGGACCCCAGTGCCTTAACCATGCCGGAGAAGGTGCTGGCCGGTCCCTCCCAGGACACACACACAACCAGCCCTGCCCCTATCCCGCCCCATCGCTCAAAGGCAAGGCTCAGACAGGCCCCAGGAAAACCAGGGGAGGGGCCGGGCCAACTCACAGGCACAGACGCGGCGGCGCTCACAGCCTAGCTGCATGGTCCCCGCACCATCAGCCCAGGGGAGGCAGCTTCTCCTGGGGATGAAGCCCCATTCTCAAAACACTGAGAGAATCACACATTCAGCAAAACTGTTTTTCAAAACCAAGGCAACTAAGGGACACGCTCAGACCGACAGAAACATAGCTTACTGTCATCAGATCCTCATCAGGGGAGCTTCCAAAAGCTTCAAGAAAGAGAAAATCATTCCACAGGGAAGATACTATACGCAGGAAGGAACGCTGCACTAAGACAGTAAATACGCACGTGACGCTATACAAGCGTTCACCAGCCAACGATCACGTCTAATCTGCAGGTTTAAAATACAGACTGAAAATACTGGACAATAACATACTATAATTTAGGATTTTTTCCATAGGTCTGCTAATTTTAAGCACATTTATAACTAGCAGCTGCACCTCAGAGCAGTTGTTGATGTGACCTGACAGGAAAAACCAGCACTGAACACTCCGATTTGCAGGCCGTCACCGCTCATCACTGACAGAACCCTTTAACTCCCTGTAAACAGGTGTTTCTGGAGTCGCCTATAGATGTGTCACTGAGAGCTTCGCTTTTGGCTCTGTGTTTGCGCGGATAACTGAAGTGCTCCCAGGTCCTATGTTGTTGGGAAGGAGGGTAAAGAGAACGATTAGCTTCAGACCTTAAGTTAAATATAAATGTTTAAATTTCAAGGGCAAGCCCTGGAAAAACAGAAACAGAATACATAACTTCCAAACCCTTCAGGAAAAATTAAAGGGAACAAGGGAAACTTAGTTAATCCAAACAAAGGAAAAATAAGACTAAAGAACAAATGAAAAAGTAAAAGTGATTCCAAACATATCTGAAATATTAATAAATGTAAATGGACAAATTTGTTATGACAGGAAATTCCAGAACAAATTATTATAAATAGCTTATAATTGGACTTTGTAAGAAATATGCCTAAAATCTGAGGACAGAATAGTTGGATGTAAAAGAATAAAACATTTTACATAATTAATGCAAACCAAAGAAAACCAAATAGTTGTATTAATATCGGACAAAATAGAAAGAAATTACTAGAAGATCATCATACGTTGCTAGAAGATTCAATTCACTAAGAAGACATCAACTCTAAGCTTAAACAGACTTAATAACATACCTTGGAAATATTTATAATGGAGATTGGTAGAAATACAAGATAAAGTTAGCATTATGTAGCATCTCTCAGTAACTGAGAAGTCAACCAGAAAAAATTCAAATAAAAGATCTAAATACAATTAACAAGCTTGATATAATAGAGATATATATTTTGGTATAACCAAATTTATAACTCCATATTTTGGTACAACTAAAATTAACATTCTTCAAACTCACATTGAACATTTGTGAAAACGACTACATACTAAGTTGTAATACAAAATTTCAAAGCGTTAGTATTATCCAGACCTTATTCACTGAACGCAAGTTAAAAAATTTAAAAACCAAAAGATAATCTTCAAAATCTATCAGCTGGAGATGTTAAATATCTGGTGGGCAAAAGATGAAATCATAACGGCATTGAGGAAAAACCAAGCAATGAATTCATTAAA